GCCCTAGTAAACTCACAGCAATAGAAATACACAGGCACTATATCCTCTTGCGGGGTCCATCCCGTGTCTCCACCACCTCCATAGAATTCGACCAATAGAAATAGCGAACTGCGAAAAGATTGCTAAAGTTATTATTATTGCTCTTTTTAGGCACATGCACATATATTTTGACAACAACGTCAAATCTTTGGCTGTAGGTGACGTAATACAGCTATTATTGCTTTGAAAAAGAGCGAACTACGTTTTCTCCTCGCCTTGTTACGCGGGAGTGATGTGCCCACGCGGCGACGCGGCTCCGTCGTGGAAAGCGCGTGGCTCGCAGCTTATCTCGCCGCGAGAACGATAAGGAAGTGGATCTCCTTTCAATCATTGACTTGTTCACAAAGCAACCTATTATATTGACACACCTTGCTAATTGATGCTCTGGCTTGTTTTATCACGACCTTTTGCATGATTATCCAAGCTCCAAGGAGCATGCTGAAAGTGCAGTTACACACAGTGGCATCTGCAACAGTTGCAAACGCCAACACATGCACACTCAACACTTGGCTACATCCCCACCTCTCCCCTTTGTGTGTTAGCAAAAGATCCAATTTTAGCTGAAAAGAATGTCAAGTAAAGATGCCTTTTTACTGGGTAACTTGTATGTGCATTGCAGGAATAAGAGCAAGAATTTCTAATTAGTGTTCGAGTCTTCCTAGCCAATTTGGCTCCGAGAACACAGCACTTGGCTAGGCTTTACATGAAAACAATCTGTCCATGCTCGTGTTCTCCAGTCTTTCCCTTCGTCTGTATCTAGTGGCGTTGTTCCAAAAATAATGTGCTATTCACAAAATCCGTCAAGTTGGTAAAAAAAATTATCTTGAAAAAACGTGCTTTTTCTCAAAGGTTATGGGAAACTCTCAAAGTGCCTTGGATTCGCCTCAATGGCTCGTAGCATCCACAGCAGTCGGTTGTTAGGTGACACGGAGTATAGCAGTAAGCGCTCAAAGGCGCCAAGAAGATGGCAGCCAATGAAAACTCCCAATGTTCTCGCTGAAACATGAAAATCGATAATGACATTGAACTGGACAAAAATAAGTTGTCATTTGGTTCTAACGCCTAACATTGCATTTGGGTGAAGAACGACTGCTGGGCAATGCATTGTTTAGCGCTTTTATTTTTTTAAAGGGAGGGGTACCGAAACCCGGAGTAGGTGTCGCTGGCAAAGTGACCTCTAATTGCCTTGACCATGCAGGAGGGCAGTGGTCGCCTGTTCTTCTGTCCAAGTCTCCGCCACAGCCAAAGCACACACTGCCTATAGGCAGCGAACCGGAAGCGCCTGAAACAATGTCCACATTTATTGAATGTAAGGAACACCCACCAGCCATACACCTGAGGCAATGACCAGACTAATCAGATGTAATAAGCAATATTCGCTACTCTGAAATCTACACCTCTCTTGTGATTGTTTCCCCGGAAAAACCATCATTTATTATGGTTCTCTTTTATGTTTCCTTTCGCTGTGCATGTGATGTATTTGCAAACAAACAAATGATCGGCACAACTAACTATACACCAACTCATGTTTATAAACAAACTGGAGCGCCCCTAGCAGACGCCACCGGCGCCGCGCATGCGCAATGGAGTGTGGGCAAGAAGCTCGCCTTTGCCCATGAACAAACCATTGAAATGCGATGTTGCCGGCGTCTGTGTGACTCCCCTTGTATTTTTTTTGCGTTTGAATAGTTGACTACGTTTTCCTTGCAATGTCTGACTACTTGAGCAGCCTCAAGAACCGACGAGAGACAGTAGTCCAACTCTGACTCCATGTCAGTCTATAAAGCCACGTAGCATCTATTCTCCCGGCAGCCAGAAGAATAATTTCCCCGAAATTCAACCGGCAGTTGACTCCCATTGGACCATTGACTGTCGCCAAGGGAAAGCGGAGGCGAAGAGGGGGGGTTTAACACTGGCCCGAGGAATACACGCGCGATGAAGTGTCCCTACAGCGTGCAATTCGCGTAACGAGTGCCGATGAAACGTCAGCGTCGACAATACGTGTCCAGGAAAAGTTGTCCATGAAACGTGTTTCCATGAGATGTTGGAAGAACAAGAAAATCAGCATTCTACCGGCAGTTGTATGATTTCAGACAACCAATGGGAGGCGATCATCGGTAGAATTTCGAAAAATTATTCTCCCAGCTGCCGGGAGAATAGACGCTGTCATAAAGCTACCCGTCCTTATCCTTGGCCCGCGGCTTGGGAGGCATGGGCATGGAACCAAAAACGCACGGCAAACAAGAAAAAAGCAGACACGCAAAGCGAAAAACATTCAAAAGCAGTTGAACGCTAATGATGATTTCTATTCAAAGCTATCACGCCGCTTCAATGCGTACGCAAGAAAAACGGGGGCCGAGGCAGAACAGCAAGTTTCGCGACCGGTAACACGAAGTTGTACTCACTCGTTCGAGGTTGCCCCCATGTTTCTTTCACCATAGTGGCGCATGTTCAACAAGGCCAGCTGTAGCACACCCGGATCGAGGCACAGCCCCTCGAAATCCGGGTGGCTTGTCACGCAGCTCTGCCGGCCCTGCTGCTTGCGAACGGCGGCCGGGAAAGTCACGGCAGCAGACACACTCTGCGACGGTTTCCATCGGCACGCAGCAACTGCATTGGCACCTTAAAACAGAAAACCAGCATCAGCTATACATATGAGAGGTATAATAAACAGCTCATCACCTACCAGTTGGCGTTCCCAAGCCGCTGGGTTGCGTCGTCGGTTTCGTCGTCTTCCTCCGGTGTCGACATTGAGCATCGCGAACTGCCGTCCGAGTCCGTCGCGTTCGAGGCATCGGCGTCGCGCGTAGGAGTGGCGTCGTAGGAGATTGAGCTGATATCTGCCGTCCGCCGAAGAATTTCCACCTCCAACGGTGTTAGATTTGGCAGGTCCATCTCCGCACGACGCAAGACCCGAAGTAAACAAAATGAGTCCCAACGAGAATCCATCAAATACGCGCACATTCGGAAGATCACTCCGCCGGTTCGAAGGATCAATCCGCCGGGAAGCCGTCACTCGTGATTGGATGGCGCACGGCCTTCCCTGCTGCCTTCCCGTCCGACAGCGCCCCTGACGGCGTGCGCCTAGGCGCAGAACAGCGATCTTTGATTGGATTTTTAATAGGGAAATCGGCCGCCCTTGAATGTAATTTTGGGATTTCTAGGATGCTTAGAGCCCGCAGATTGAGTTATGACAATAAATAGACGATCTCAGAATCCACTTGAGTGCCCCTTTAATAACTGAAACTTTTACCGAAAAAAATATAATAATAATATTATTATTATTATTTATTATTTTTGCAGGGAGTTTTCTTTTCCGGTAAATTTTTTTATCTTTTATTTTTGGTTTTGCTTTTTCTGCCTAAAAATTTTCAAATTAATGTGTATCATCTTACGTTAATATCGGGTTCAGTCCCACAAGCCGCTTCCGGCTTTGATGGACCGGCTTTTTTTATATATGGAATGTGATCTGCTTTATAAAATATATAATTATTATTATTATAATTATTAATAATACGTTCATTTGGGAATGATAAGCATATCTAACAAGAGTGCAGCTTTTGCCGCACAAGGAATCAAAGCCTTGTGCGGCAAAACCAGCTCTTCTTGCATGAAATTAAATATATCTATATATATCTATATACATACATATATATATTTCTTGATTAAACAAAATTCTGAACTATAACGAAGTCTCTACAGCAGTTCCAACTGGAGTCCTACGAACCCGATAAAAAATACAACCTTACGTCAGGTCATAAAAAAAAACAGAAGGCACCATGTGTGACTCTTCACCATTGAATGTAACACAAAATGTTGCCCAGTTCTTGCGACACGGAGGATGTAGAAGAGTTCCCTTTTTACCAACATATAATAATAATAAAAAAAAAACTTCACGCAGAAATGAGCTAAAAAGTTACTTGTTTGAAGATGGTAGCAATTAAAAATAATTATGAAACAATCACAAGAGTTCGTCGGTCAAATCAGAATGTCAAAGTGTTTTCTGAGCTTCCTTTCTTGAGGTGAACTTGAGGCACATAGATTGACCGCATGTTCTTATTATAGCCTGTATAGCAAGCGGGGACGAGTAATTTTCATTTTTTTTTAATAGACCCTTTCCGAAATTCAGTCTGGCCACTTTGATCACTATCGTAATCTGAGAAAGTGACTTATTTGCCATATCAATGACGGCCTTCTGTTTGCTGATGAAGGAAGACGTTGAAGATGCTCCTAAGCTGATTGGTTCGAAGCCTACATACATTTGAGACGTTTGCACGATGCGAAGGAGGAATTAAATTCAAGAGCTGCGTGTAAGTGTTTATTTCTAACTCGGGTTCAGACAATCTTTTAGAGCACACAATCGGTTTAAAGCCCCTTGACGTGTAGAACTTTATCAAGGCGTCTATGAAAGTTGGCGCTTCGTTCTGAGTGGTTGCATCTTTTTGCCATCGACACTGAAAAAGGTTGAAAAAGAACTTACAGTTCAGTGCACGTTCTCGTCTGCCGTTCACTTGCGAAAGTGACGGTTCCCGATACAATAGTGCAAACTAGATGTTCATTGCCGCCATTAGCACTGTAAAAGTTAAACTGCCCTTTGGGCCGCCAGATGACACTGAACTTCGGGAAGGGTCTATTATTTCATATTCGGACGAATATTTTTAAAATCAACCTTGTAGTAGTGCCAAGGCACGACAGATTAAAAAAACGAAACAAAAAAACATTGCAGATTTGGCATCCACAAAGCCTTAAAAAGATCATGATCGCGTGATGCAGGTTTATACTGAATGTTCCGTAAAATTCCTTTTAGAATCGTATTTTTCTTGGCCTGCACGATCTAGACCGTTGTTAAAGACCGTTTCGCCGTAGAGCAGTGTACCATAAGCTGATGATCTATAAGCTCTCTGAGATATACGCCGGAATTCTGCTGTGTGAACAACAAATAATTTTGTAAATCTTCCTAGATACTGTGGTAATCGACTACTCCGGATACGAAGATATGGAAGAAACAGGGAGCTCAAGTTCCGAATTAGTCATATCTGTGACATCCGGCATACCTTTGACACTGAGACAAAGAAATATTACATTGATTAACAAGACTGCTTGCGAAAAACAACTTAAGAAAATGGTTCCAGGCTATATTTTATGCTCCACTGGAGGAGGATGTCATGTAAGTAGAATTATCTGTTTCACATGTCCACCATAAACACACATAAGCACCGGTCAATGAAAAAATACATAGAGTTTAGTCGTGCTGGGGTTATATTGAACATGATGGCTAACCCTGAGAATGGAATGTTGACGACATCTTAAGGAGCGTATATAAGACTTGGAATAAATAAATCTTTAGCTGAGTTTGGGACATTTTCTGTGCCCCTCCTTTCGTGTTTCCCTCCCCGTTTTTTTATATCAGTGGGTTAGCATTGGTGCCCTGGTATATGCGCCGAGCTTCCACTGGTTTGAAGCACACGTGTCTAAAAATCGCAACGCCGCCACCGGATGGCACCACAACCCCAATGGCCGACAAACCTGGTTAGGAAACACCTACTGCGAGCGCGGACAAATGACAGCGGAGTGAATATCTCGAGAGGCCAGGACCAAAATCGCTGCTGCCACCACGCTAATTCTAAAAAAAATGCGTCAGCATTTCGCGCAGCGGTTATATATAAGGTGTCCCAAGTCAGCCGGCTCGATCTAAAATGGAGCGCAAAAATCAAAGCCTGCACATAGCAATCTAAACTCTTCGTCAAAGGTGTACTTCCCAGGTCGGTTTTTCTCTTGTAAAATTGCAAAGCGTAGCGCCCTTTCTGTGAGATATGAGTTCAAGAAACTTGCAAGGGTGTACGGCCGGCGGCGACGCAGACGGCGAAGTCAAGTGGCTGGTCGCGTTTTTCCACTCGTATTGATAGATGGCGCTACCTCTTAATCAAGACTATTCGCGACCACTGTGGTTTGTTAAAATGAACATAATCACTTTGTAATATATATTTTGGTTTATATATAAATGCGGACAATAAAATCAAAACTTAAAGTAAAAAAAGACGCGTTTACATAACGACGGCGTTTTTTCTGCCAACGGATTTCGTCTGCCTGTCGTCTGCTTTCTTTCCCTGGTCGGCTACAACTTCGGACGCTGCTCGATCCCGACACCATCTGTCAAATCGTTCGCCAAACGCACCCTACAACCCGACTTGGTCGTCTGCGTTGCCGCCCGCCGTTGACCCAGCAAGTTTCTCGGCCCTATTTTTTTTACAAAAAAGGAACTACGCTTTCTAATTTGACAAGAAAAAAAAGAAACGACAAGTGAAATACAGCTTTGAAGAAAAGCTTAGACTGCTACGTTCAGGCGCCGATTTTTATGGTCTATATTATATCGAGCCTGGTGACTTGGGACACCCAATATAACTAAGCACAGCGAATTTATCCTCTCAGCACTGTTCCGCGGGGGGAACATTTCCAAAACCCCTCTTCACCATGGTGCAAGTAGATCAGGACACTTGGCGTGTGTATGAGGGACAGGCGATGGGTAGAAAGCAACAGTCATTTTGTTGCTCATACATGTGGAGCATACACGGGTGAAGACACCGTGAGCTTACGGCCCGGTGGCATGGTAAGACTATTAGCGTCTAGAACGGCGTGGTAGGCCGACGGAAAGAACCGCAGCAAGTGCGGGTCCGCCGGTCTCCGTTGCCGGTGGGAGGGGCTTCCGAAGGCGTTCAAAGCGCACACCCGCACCCCGGCCGCTTATTTCGAGAGGCGTCAAGGACGGCCAGCCACAACGTTCGTGACGCGCAGTTACCGTGTCACCGGGCCGTAAACGCATGGTGTCGTCGCCCCTGTATACACAACATGTGTGCACAACAACGAAATGGCTCTGGAATTTTTCGCGCATGGCACGCGCGCCCTTCATGCACACGTTAGGTTACCTGATCTGCCTGCACCAGGGAGAAGGTTTTGGGCAATCTTCACCGAGCAAAAACGTGCTGAGAGGCTGCATTCACCATGCTCTCTACGAGGGGGATTCAACTGAAAACCTGAATTATTTATTATAAGGTAAACGAGGTGATACAGAAATTTCATACATATATTCCCTTTCGACGTGGTCCTTATGACGTGCGATGCACGTGTTCCACCGCTTTGGAGGTGCAAGGGATAATTTGTGAGAAAATTGTTATGGTTGTGACTAGCCACACGCGCACCGCTGTTTTCATCGCTTCCGCAATGATTGCCTCCCATAGCTTCTGGGAGCCGTCCGAACACCTGAAAGTCACTTGGGGCGAGGTAAGGGCAAATAAGGTGGGTGTGTGAGACATTCAAATTTCATATCCCGGACTGCCGCGAACGCCAAAAATATCGTTCTTTCGGCAATGTTTGGATTCGTCACAACGCGGTATGCCGGGCCCGCGGTCGCGGGAAATACTCCACAGAAGTTACGCCGCTTTTAAAATTTCTGGTTTACTCGTACTTTTGTCGCAGAGACAAAAACAAATCACTGTCTTGCCCTTTCATTCTGCGATGACTTTCAGCTGGCTTAACAACTTCGCTACTCAAAAAGGCATCACAGATCGCTGCTCTAACACAGTGCATGTCGACAATGGGGTGGCCATCTTTGCACTGACGCTGCTTTCTTCTGTGTTCAAGTACATGCTGTAACCTGTTGGTCATTTTTTTTTCAATCCCAAGGATAAATCCTGCCTTTTACCGAAATAACCATACAACTTTTTGAAATTTTATTGGACTTTGGAACATTGTCACTTTTTGTTTTATTCACCTGCACATTTGACCCACTTTCGTATATAACCCGCTGTGCAAAATGCTGACGCATTTCTTCGAGAATCAGCGTGTCAGCAGCAGCAATTTCGCCAGATTTTTTTAATTTTTTATGACAGGCAGAAGGTTTACTGTAATACTCCATAAAGTTGCTAGCATTCAATAACGGGACCGCAACAGCTCTAAGAAAGAAGTGACTCGGTCATGAAAGGTTACAAATCTACAACTAAAGTTTCTCTTGCTCTCATTGTATTCATGAGAGCTAAAAAAAGTATTCCTTCATTTGTCTGTTTTGTTTACTCTCAGCTTTATACTTTGTTCAGGTATCGGGCATGGACGACTAATCAAAAGAAATATTTCAACAAGAAAAAATAAAACGAAATACAGGGATGGCAAGACAAGAACGAGAGATTCTTACACCTAAAACGTGAACACCTTTTAATGGCCTGAACGATGTTTTGCTTGTGTAGGACCATGTTTTTGCTTATGCAGGAAATTTCTCCATTTATGATGGCAACTACCGTATAAATAAATTGTATAGGGGCGTTGTGAAACTGCCGATGTTTGATCTCGACGAGGCTCAACGTTCCCGAATATTAAAAAAAAGCTCGGATTTAAAATTCATGATTTAAAAATATATCCTGAGTTTAAAGCAGGGTACTCAGTATTACATCGCACGTTCAACGTTGAGGTTTCTTCACCATACAGAATGTGTTAATGGCGCGCAATGACCTCTCTTGCATCATAATCCATGAAACAATTTAATGTTTTATTTCAAGATAACTTTATTTTCACCCAAACTTTATTTTCGCCAACTCGCCCAATTTATAGGACTGGTGGCCGCTGAAAAAGAAAATTGTTCCGGGACCTTAGGCAAAGCGCATTTTTCCAGCGGCTACTGTAGTCGCAGGGCGCGAATTTAGCACCATTTAATTACCTTCGGTAGTTTTCCTTATATTATATATATGTTCTCTTTCCAGGGAGACAGCGGAGGACCATTAGTGTACGAAAATAATGGAACGTGGTTCCTTTTTGGTATTCACTCAGGAGGAGATCAGGATTGCTATAATCCCAAGGGGCCAGGAATGCATATCGATGTGTCATACTACGTTTCATCGTTTATTAAGCCCTTCATGAAGCTTGGCAACAACACCGAAGGGGGAAAACATATATGCGCCACATACGAGGATCATATACAATGTGTAGCACAATTGTATGCGTCTTAAAACGAGTCTGTAGAACACAATTCAAAAAATGAATAAAAAGTGTTAGTGTTGATCCACTTCCGCACGTGGAAAATCTTTGACTGCTTCAAATTTGTGTTATAAATAGACGGCGACTGGCGATCTTGTGTGTGATATACTTGACGGCGCAAAGCGCCAACGCATTTAAAGCCAGAGGAGTTGCATGTACCACTATAGCAATTATATTCCGCTATTACACTTTATATTCAAATATAAGAAACGCAGAACGTGTCGCGCCCCGATCATCTGAATATCGATTCACAACCAATGCGGTTGCAGTATTATTCGATAAGAACTCAGAAGGAGCAATTGCAAAATCAGAAGCGTGGACATTGAGCCACGCCCTAATTTCTTACTCTGCCAGGGCTTGTGAACATGCTTAGCGCATCTAAATTGCTCTACATCATTATTTCATCCAAACACTTCTTTTCATGGGAGAGTGCTGCTCAGGAAAGGGCGAGGCTAAAACATAAATTTGTACATTAAATTCAAGTGGGCGCTGTAATGCTAAGCTTCACATTAATCGTTCCCGCTTCTTGCTCAGTGTTTTCAACGCCAAAATTTCTTAATAGGCACACTTCCTTACGATGTAAATTTTCGAGTTTTCATATATAAACGAAAGTGATGGGATAACGAGATTTATATGAAAAAGTAGACGTATGTGTACTTTGGGATAAATCTCCTCACTATTTTTTTTTCTGCGCAGCTCTTTGTCGATGCGCAAACTTATTTCCAGCATACATTCACAGGAAAATTTGCTCGATCAACAGATCTTGACAGAGAGCAATTTTCTCACAATGAATTCGGCAGCGTATATAGGATGTCCCAAATCAAGCTTTACAGGTAAAATAAAAAGGAAATAAAAAAAAAAAAACTGAAAGCCGTTTACAACTCCTGTAACGCCGGATTAGAGCGCAGCCCCTGCGGAAAAGGATGGAAGGGTACTGAGGGATAGGATGAAAGGGTACTGAGGGACAGGTGACTCACTGAGGTCACTTGACCTCAAGGTTCACGTGACCTGATGGGGTCACGTGACATCATGGAGGTCACGTGACCTCAGGGGGCAGCCCTCGTGACCCTCGTGAGGGTAACCATCGTGACCCTCGTGAGGGTAACCCTCGTGAGCCTCGTGAAAATAACCCCCGTGACCCTCGTGAGGGGAGCCCTCGTAAGGGTAACCCTAGTAACGCTTGTGAGGGTAACTCTGGTAACCCTCGTGTAGGTAACTCTCGTGACCTTCGTGAGGCTAACTCTCATAACCCTCGTGAGGGTAACTCTCATAACCCTCGTGACCCTCGTGAGGGTAACCCTCGTGACCGTCGTGAAAGTAACCCTTTTGAGGGTAACTAACCCGTCGTAACCCTCGTGAAAGTTACGAGGGTTACCAGGGTTACTCTCACGAGGGTTACGAGGCTATCCTCGTGATCCTCGAGAGGGTAACCCTTGTAAGAGTAACCCTCGTAACCCTCACGAGGGTTACGAGGGTTGTGCGTGGTTACGCCGACGCCGACGCCGCTCAAGGCGCAAACGGGCGCTTAAGAGCTGCGCTCTTAAATTTGAGATGTACGCGAATTCAATCATTGCGCGTGCTTTATGCTCGGAGCTATGCAAAAAAAGTGCAAGAATAATCGGGTTCGACAACCTTGTAATTCACAAAACAAATATAATTACACCTTTTAAATTACATGCCTATATGGGAAGCAGCAAGGCGGCCGTATTCCAAGTTTACTGCATGTTGTAGAATTTTCTAACCAACCTGCGTTGAGGGGCATCCTTTTCCACATTTTCCCCTAAATTCGGCTAATTATAGGCAGACAAAACTGCGAAGAAAAATTCAAAAACCCTTTCAGGTTTGAGTTAGGTCTTGGTGTATAATTAATTTTGTTCGCCCACTGAGTTAGAGAGAAGCAGTTATTAGCATCGCCCCGTTTTCATACGGAATATCATACGCAAGTACTTCCGTCAAACCGGAGAATGTGTTGCGGTTAGGGGCGTGCGCTGAATAATTCAGATTAAGTAGAAAATTTGGTGACATATCTGGGAACATGGGCATGGTTCCGAGAATTCTACAGATAAAAGAGTCAAAAATGCGTCCGCCTTGACATTTTCTGCGGGAAGGGATACCCTATTCACACAAATCAAAAAGTTAATTATGTACTTGAAGATTATTGCTAACTTAAAGGTTAAAATTATTCTTGCACGAACTTTCCACCTGGAAAGATATCCTAGGTACAAAAACGCATTTAGCGTGCGCTTTAAGGATTTTTCCTTAGAGTTAGTCAAACTTAATTTTGAATTAAGGTCTACTGCAGCACTGTATACCGCAACGCTCGTATAGTATAACAGTATATTAAGCACACAGCTATATCGATCTTGTAACTACTATTCACTATTTAAAATAGCACAAAAGAGAAGGGACAAAAACGAAGAAGCCTACAGGACCAGCGTGCTCGTCTCGCTTAATTGATAGACTAAATTAGAGTATGTGGAACGTGAAGTAATTTAATGTCAAGTGAGAACCAATCCAGAAATTCAATTTCCCCGCTAAATTCAGAGAAAAAAATATTTCATGTCACCTGAATCCAAGTGACCCATACGAAGGTGCTTGACACTCTAAGCACGATTCGACGAACCTGGCAAAGTTACGTCTACGCGACGAAGAGTGTAGCGGAGAAAGCGGTTGAGGAAGCACCCCCGGCTCTTCCGACGAACGTCAAGAACCCAACGGCAGCCAACGAGGCCCAAACAGCTACCGGCGAGCCCGCTTCTGCAGCTCCCTTGAGTTTGGACAACGCGAGTCTGAGTTCTGTTGCTCGAACTGCGTCCGAAGATGGCTGGACTACAGCTCGTAAACAACAAAGGCCCGCAGTTCGCAGTGGTGCCAGCAAGTCAACGTGACTGACCACCGTTCCCCGGGGCCCTGCGCAGAAAAGCACTCTTCGTCCCAAGGTTGCTCCCGGATACATCCATAAAAGATGCCGTGAAGTTTGTGTCTGACGTGCGATGGACGATGTGCTCGTCTGTACAAGGCTCAAAAGCAAGTTTTCTTCATATTCATCATTTCATGTCTTAGTCAGTGCAAACAAGTTCGATCTTATTAACGACCCATTAGTTCGGTTTGAGGGGTGTCTTTTTCGTCATTTTTGGGGCACACTAAAAACAGACGAACTCGAAATTGCGGCCACGTGAATCACTCAAAACGTTCTCGGTTTACTATCAAAATGTAAGAGATATCCGCACAAAAACCGTCAAATTTTTCGAAGGGGCTCTGCTTCCAGATCATGGTGTGTTTTGCATTTCAAATACCATGTTGACGTGCGATATCCCATGATCTGAATACTTTTCTTGCAACTACTGCACTTTTCGTAGCGACCGCAACTATAAAGCTACCGCTCAGATATATGGTGGGGTGTAGTGATAGCTCTACGTAAAAATATTACTGCACTTCGACGCTTGGATCTTGAAAGTTACAAAGAACGCGTATGACTTGAGGTAAAAGCGGAAGGGTTGGAAACATTTCTAATCGGTAATTATTATTTACCGCCGTCTCTCAATTTTCAAGATTTCGGGCAAGTTTTTGATGCCTTGTCGGACAAACTAGACCCTACTAACTTTAATATCGTTCTTCTCGGCAATTTCAACGTGCCTGGTAACTCGTGGAGTAGCGATTCCTTAGCCGCCAGCTGGCAAAAAAGCAATCAGTTTTTTTTTTCAATTACAATCATCTATATCGCGGTGAGGTTCCCCTAAATGACTAGAGTAATGATTTAGACGGTTGTTTTCCACTAATCTTGAAGCTTATAATGTTACTGGTGTTAGTAGCCCAGTCGTTCCAGTTGATGTGTGGCATGTCTCATCTTCCCTTAATCTTGAAGTGCAAGTTGTACCTGTCAAGAAGATAAACACATGTAGGTTCGATGACGCCAATGGCTCTTATCTCGACCTCTACGGTTTTTATGCTACGTGCGCTTGGGATGACGTGCTTCGCTTAGATTCCGTCTACGAAGCCGTCGCCGCTTTAACGGAGGAAGTGCTGAACAAAATGCAAAGCTTTATGCTAAAATAAGATGCTCATTGACCCAACAAATAACCTCTTCTCCTCCCCCCGGCCCCTGGTTTTCCCACGAACTGAAACGTTTCATGCGCAAGAAATTGCATTTACATTGTCCAGGCCGCCCTACGAATTGCGACGAAGTTTATGCCAGGTTCAAGATATGCAAAGCTACTGTTAAGACTCTGTAGAACTTCGGAAACAAATCTTATCGAAACCACGTTGAAGGCAACATTTCTAAGCGTCCCCATGATTTTTGGCGTTTAGTTAAAGGGGCACTGACACATCAAAATCATTAATTTTTTTATTATCCGAAACGATTGAAAATGATGCCGGGACATTACCCTCAAAATTCGAAACTTAGGAATTCAGTATTTTTGAATTAAAAAAAAAAAATTCAAAATGCCGAATTTGAAGTTCCCGCGTGATCCGCGCCAGTGCAGTGAGTCAAATTTTGCGGTCTCCTGCGACTCGACTTTCTTTGGGACCTCCGTTGCCACCGCGACCCGAAGCGAGGAGGAGGTGACCAGACGGGATAGAAGGGCGCCGGCGCGGGAAAAAACCGGTTTCTTCCCCGACTCACCGATAAGCCTCTGCTCGAGCGCCGCCAAGTTTTGCGAGAAAGAATACAAATCCAGGAAGCGACATCACACCAAAATCTGATTTTTGGTATTTCAAAAAGAGGGGCCGTAGTGCGTTTGCAATTGCGTTGAAAGACATGTTTTACGATTGCACCTCCAAAGCTTCTAAATTTCCAGATTTTTGACGTCACCGATCTAAAGAAGCAAGGAGGTGAGCGCGGGAAATATAAACGGCAAAAATAAAAAAGCGCGCGCGAAAGCTTTTTTTTTTTTTTTTTTTGCGATGCGGTTTTTTTGCGTGTGTATGACTATAACTTGCATCGTTTTAGACAATACAAAATAATGCGACCTTTGGGGCGCCAGTGCTCCTTTAAAATGCACACGTCCAATAAGCAGGCACTGACGTCACTGAAGATAGATGTAAAATATTCCACCGACCCTAAAACTGTGTGTAATCACTTCGCTGATTTTTTTTTCTTCCACCTTCTCATCGGCCACAGTTAATAGCTCAGACGTCTCACGTGCCGTTCAAGGCCACGCTCTACTTTTACTAAGCTACTTTTACTGAGTTACTAAGCAACGCTAATTTTTTTTTAACAAGAACATTGACTTACAAACGTTTACATAGTAGCATCACAGAAGGAAGGTCTATACCACATTAGAAAATTACCTAAAGTTCGAAAGATCGATCTTTAATGCGCGCTAGCACACCCGGCTGTGTCCTCTTCAGTGCCTTCGCAAATTGAGCAGCCGTAAACATGTGTCATTAGCTGTTTCCTCTTCGTCTCTGCAGTCGTGTGGACAGCCCTTCCCAGCATTTCAGTCCCTGCTCTGCTGCCTCCTTTGTCAGCGAAGTCACAAATTCAAAATCCGCCACAAAATGACATCATGCTAATTTGCCGCCTTCTACCATGTCCAGGAGGTCCGTCCATGACCGCCAAAGAGTCCATAGTCCTAAAAAAGTAATTATCTTCCACGCCCTGACGGAAGGATACTTCTCTAACTCTAGAAACTTCGCCTGCTCCCAACGCAAATATAATTCAATGCACAGTTCCGCTCTCAGCTCAGCCCAAAACAACTCCGCGTTCGTGTAGTATAGGAAACCATGATCCAAAGTTTCAGGGGAAAGGACAGAGAGGACAGTTCGTTGACCATGGCTCAAACTACCATTTTTCACCAACCAGATCTTTACGGGCAACGCCGAAAATGAAAACGCACAAAGACATTTTTCATTGCGATTTTCACGGGATATTTGCGGACCCGGTGAAACACGTCCATCGAAATGGCTGCGTCTCCCACATATGAGCGGTAAAGTAGAGGTGGGAATAACATGTATAGGGTGTCCAAGTACAGTGTTTTCCTTTTGTCCTTCTGCAGGTGCTTCCCTGAGAATCCGCTTCCGAAATACCTGAATGCTGCTGCTGTCTCTTTGTCATATCTCAGCACTCGTGCCAGAGAGGTATCTTTCACCCCTGCGAGCCAGTCGTGTGGGAAGCTGCCGCCAAGCTCTCGAAAAGAGGCTGTAATGAGCGCCTCTTTTGAGTGTAAGGTAATGGCCGAGAGTCCCACGAACACTTTAGGTTACAGAATCGAAACCTATAAAGCAATTTGCAGCGAAGCAAATACTCTGGATAGATTGTATGGCAATAATCAGGGCGAAGAGCACCCGAAGTACGGTTGTGGTATTGAAACAAAGCAACGCTCGTTGTAAATATTCCGAAGATATCTTAAGAAGGTGCAATAATATATATTGTCTTAATTCAATCGAGCAGAGTGAAATGGGATGGCGTCAGATGTTTACTGAAAATACCCCTCGGCTTAGCAGAAATACGTCATGTTTGCACTTAGAAAAAATGCAGAATATTTTTTTGCTTAGCTTTTTAATATTCCTTCTAGGTTCACAAGTGGAAGTTAGAGGACTTTAGTTGGTAGGTCGGACAGCCTAGATACATTTGTAGAGGTGGATTCGAATTTAGCTACCACTACAAATATTTATTTATTTATTTCAATACCTAAATCTAGTCTGAAATATTTTCAATTAATTTCAACCTGCATGCCTGATTATTAATTAGCATGGACTTTGTAGTTCTCTTCCCGACTGTCTGATTAAATGTGTACCGGTGGATGCAAAGACATTGTCTCTAGTAGTGATTTATTTTCCATAAAAATATACTAGGATCATTTTTATTATTGCAAATATCCTAAGCAAGTACAGCGCATTCTTATGACTGAGTACGTTTCCAGTTGTACCACACTTTTCTTATCACCGAGAATGTTTCACGCTGTGCCACATTTTCCTTGACCTAAAGGTTGTTTGAATGTTAGGACCTGAATGCTTGTTCATATTGTATAAGAATAGGCTGGGAATTTCAACTTTTAGAAAATATTACATGAGGCGGTGGCACAATGTATTATAGAGCCGACTTTAATTTATTTTTACCTGTGACTGAGAAGTTAAAATAAATGTATTTTACATCTAAATTTTTATAAACAGTACTACCATGTGATCACGTTTTATGCGGAGACATGTATCGACGCAACCAAAAATGTTTAAACATCTTTGGTGGGATTCATACGTCTATACAGCTGGCTAATAAATATGAGCAAGAACAAAGGTGATATTATAACAATGTGTGAACATATGGAAGGGCACGTGCTGCGTAACAATTTCAAGTACAGCTGCACTAAAATTAGGAGTAATAACATTTGGCATTCTTTTATTACTAAGTATCGTACACTAGTCCATGTTTTAATCGCTATACTAAGATATCTCTTAGTGAATGTTAATGAAAGAAAGTAATTATGGCGTTTTATTATTAGTTTAGGACTTTAAAAGAGTTGGAGTCACAATCGCCATTAGGGTGCCGAATGCGCAAGTCTCGAATATTTATGCAAAAATAGGAAAATCAAACTCCGAAATTTCTAAAATATCGCTTCCCTAAATTCGGGGCTTCTCTGATGAAACTGTATTATATATAGATATATTTTTTTAAATCACAATAAAAAATAAACTAAAAGTGGAAAAACAACGGAAAGCCAAGCGTTGCGAAGTAAAAATTTCCGGCGGGACTCGATAATATTTTGCTGTTTAGGTATCCTGTTTTCTTCGTGTTTTTTACGTGAGCGAAATTGCAATATCCGCTATGACACGGTTTCACTGCAATGACAAAGTAGAACCCAATTTGATTTAAACAAAAAGAAAGGAAAATCAAGGAAATGCAAATTGTTGCCAAGTAAAATTTCCCGTGTGACTCGAAAATATTTTGCTGCTTCGGTTTCCTGTGTGCTTCATATTTTTGAAATGAGCGAACTTGCAATATCCGCTAACACGCGTCTTCATTGTAATAACATGATAGAACCCAATTGTTGTTCGTGCTTTAAAATAAAGAAATCTAAAACTGTTTCGTGGGAAGGTTATATGTTGTAGAGGTTATAGAAGTTACAATATAAAACCCAACAGAATGCGCTCTCGCAATCAAACCGGTCTCACAAAGCTAAATTACAAGTCACGAAGTCAACTTCAATCATGGCACTGGCATTGTCTGCCGTAACTGGACTGATATGCCTGACTTTTTCAAGTGGAAGTCAGTCATGGCCAGAGCTCAATCCTGACCTTGAGCAGTACCAGGACTTTACAAAGGTCGGTATAAATAGATTTTAGTACAACAGGAATATAATTATGAAATGATAACGCAGTGTATTTTCATATATTTTCTGAGACGTTTGTCTTCAAACTCCTACAGTGTATGCAAATCAGTCTATAAGAGACAGCTGAAGAGGTTCTTGTGAAGAAAAAAAAAAAACTTTAGACGTAAATTCTATCGCATTGTTGTCCTGTGATTTTGAATATTAAAAGCATTTGACCTGAACATATCCATAGACGCGAGAAAAACAGAAATCATAACACTGGATGGGACGTCATACCAGCTTTGGCGGTTACACGTAACGAACAATAGCGTTACCGCTAACGCGTTACTTTTTTCGGTAACCTTGTGCCTTTTCAAAACTGTTACGGGTAACGCACTTACATTACTTATTCTGAGTAACGTGTAACGTAGTTACGTTACTCGTTACATATTCTTCCAAATACTTAAAAGAATTGCTGAAATGTCTTTCGAGTTTCAAGGCGCCAAGCCCTAAAAAGTTTGCGTTTTTTGCGGGTTTTTTTTTTGTGAGAATTTAAGGGGAACCCTAAAAACAGATCAGTTAAATATTCTTGGTTTCTGAATGGACGTAATGCTTCTTGAAATATGGCACTATTGCATACCTGTAACGTCAAAGAATAAAATATGGTATTTTATAATTTAAAAAAAAATGTAAAGCAAGCATAGCGTGTGCTACTTATTAAAGGTAACAATAACTGGTTTCTTTTATTTGCAAGTAACGAGTAACGTATTTCGTTACTTCTTTTTTTTTTTTTTTTTTGGTGACGCCTTCACACTGCATCATACCTAGAGGCTTCAACTGCCTTGCACGGGCCGCGTGTCAAGGAACGCGTGCAGCGTTTTTGACAGCGGATGTAAGGCTTAAAGATTGACTAACTGCGTACTGACACTTGCCAAGGATTTTATTTGTATATGACACGTCGTGCAGAATATGCGGCTGGCAATTCGTTTTCTTTCCGCCCGAAAACCTCCGACCGAGAACTGGCCGCCTTGAGTCGATTTCGCTCTGTACTTCATGGCCACGTGCCGTTCTCTTTGGTTTAGGGCCAGCCACCAAATTTATTCAAAGTTTCGGGTCATCGAAGACCCACACTCAATAATAAAAGTAGAAAAAATGTATGACACCCGATTTTTGTTACTTCTAAAAAGCCGCAAATACGTTGATTTTAAGAGAGAAAGTTGCAGAGAAAAACGGAAGCACACTGTGAATTCTTTGAGTAATTCTCAACATGGCGTCGTGTCTCGAGAGTCGTGGGCTGGACGGTTGAACGTATCGGACTAAGCGATGGCGGCGGACGATGGACGTGGGACCTCTTGTTCAGGACCGTCGTTCGCGGCACCGGTGAATATGCCTAGCTTCGAAAGAGAAATCTTTTATTGATCAAACATTATGGATTTACTCCGTACGATACGACCAATCACCAAGCTGATTCGCACGAAGACGGGGCCAAGTCGTCTCCCCTTCTCCTGGCTGAAGACATCGCTCGTTTTACAAACACGAATTGGTAAAAGCTCGAAAAACACGCAAACGTCAAGCCCCAAGTGCTTGACCTTTCTGTATTTCGTGAGACGTGCGACGTGCGCGTTTTTCGTCTACTCCGCACAACCGAAAAAAAAAATAATAAAAGAAACCGCGGTCGGCTGATTTCCGCGTGATTTCAGGCAACTCTCCTCCTCTACAACTCTTCTTCCTCCCCACTCCACTTGCGGTTTCGCTTTTGGTTAGTTGTGTTTTTTTTTTTCTTTTTTTGCCTAATTAAAATATACGTGGCTCTGTAGGGAAATATTGATTAGGTAGTCTTCTGATACCACAAAAAATCGCATGGAAAAATATATTTTTGGGGGTGTCAGTGCCCCATTAAGAAGTGGCGAAAATGTTCAGAGGCCGGATTCTCAACGCGAACTTACGCCGAAAGAAGTGCATACGACAAATTTGAGAGAAGATCCGTATTCTCAAAACAAAATTGCCGTAACTTTTGCACAGGTTACGACAGAATCCAACGACAGCTCCGAAGCTGTCTTACGCACTTTTTACGATCAAATAAACATGGCCGACAGCGTCGTTCAGTTACTTAATCGCGACGACCATCGGACTTTTTTTAATTTTTTACGTGCTATTCACGCGCGTCCCGACTTTAAGCAGCGAGAAAAAAGCGAAACGTACATGAAATCTAACACGACGAACATGAACGCTGGATCCACAAACACCCGAGAAAAGCAACCTAGGCAACGATCCCACCGACCAAGCGAACTCGGCAGAATATAAGCCCAGGGTTGGGCAGAAATACTCAAGAATGTATTTGGAAATACAATTACTGGGATACATTAAAATAGTAGCTAAAATACTGATACTAAGATACATTTGTAAAAATGTATAGCGATACGTATCGGAAATACATTTTAAAAAGGGGCAAAACGTATTTGGAAATACAAATACAGGAATACATTATAGGGAGGGCAGAAATACAAATACAGAAATACTGATAGTGCAATACATTTTCCAAATGTTTTGAGACGCCAACTGAGATGAAGCTTGAAGTTTGCAGTAAATGTTTTCGATCCCGAAATTACCTTCCTGTAGGCTTGGCACTTTGCCTTGAAGGCAGTGGTTTCGGACGACAAGGAGTCTTCAATGGGCCCAGAAAAACGTTCCATCAAGGGCTGACCGCGGTCCCTTCCATGACGTCCTGTCTGTCTGACGAGGGAATCCTGTCAACATTGATCACGTGATGTCACGGTGGAATGAACTAATATTCTTTATCTGTAGGTGTGGCCTTGAACGTAAAACTTTACCACGCTGCTGTATGAAAGGACAATACGTACTTTCGTTGTAGGTTACCTAGCTGAAGATCGTGCAGGCAGTGTCATTTGGAATGTCTGAGAATAGTGGACCACCTGAAGTACTTGGAATACATGTCTCCTACTGTTACGGTTGAAAAAACGATACGGTAGCATCCCTGTTCTGAAGGTCCTTACTGCCAACCCTCCGCCACCGACGCACGGATTTCAGTCCTTAAGTTTTGCCTAGCATTATCCAAACAGAGACCTCGTGGAGTGGGAGCTGATATTGCCGGCACAGGTGTGAGCTGTCCGAGAAACAGCGGTCTCGAGACGAGTCGCGGGAGTACGTAGTCTGGGATGGCACAGCGAGGCCACTTCTGGCCTCCTTCAGGGTTTCGGACCACCAGAGAAGCGGGTCACGTTCACGTCGGCTGATGACGTACCCTTGAGCCGTGCAATGTTACGGGCGCAGCCGCAGATGCATTCGAATAAGTGTTGAACTTCACAGCGTGAGTCTTCCTACTATTTTAAGTTAACCACCGCCAGGCTTGTGCTGCAACGGAATATGACTCAGATTTGCCGGCTGGGTGTACTCTGTACGCTAAGGCGAGAGAGACGGTTAACAGCGGGTGTTGGATGCCAGCAATCAATGGCTCAAGCAATCCCTACCTAAGGACCTGCGGCAGAAGATGCTCTGACTTCACTCCTGGCACGCCACCTGGTTCGAGTCCCCGACTACGCAACAATTCTCAGAAGAGCGAAGAGGACGCATAGAAAAATAGTTTGCAGAATCAAAAGGAACCTTGGTCAGCATAGTAACAATGCCCCAGCCACTCCTTGACTCTGGTGCCCTCAGAAGTAGAAAAAAATGCGTTCGGACTTGTTTCTTTTTCTTTTTTTTTCGGGGGGGGGGGGGGGGGAGTATTTCTCAGGAAATGTAACGAAATACATTTCATCCTGATTGTATCGCGATACAAAAAAACATTCCAAATGTATTTCGATACAGGAATACAGATACTGGTGAAAAAATGTATCGCGATACAGAAATACAGATACGAAATGTATTTCTGAAATACTATCGCGATACAATTGTATCGCGATACTGCCCAACCCTGTATAAGCCTATACTTCGTTTCATCCTACGATTGACTAAAGACCAAAGCCACGGGCCGCCAGGTCCAATCACGTTCCACGCTAAACTATGACACGCTTGGCGTTGCTTAGGTTTGGACGAATAATGCTCCGAATCCAAAAACGCTGCGTCATTTTCATAGCTTCAACACTGCAAAGAGCCAGTAAGCCGTGGCTTTCTTTGCAATGTAAAATTGTTGAGTCACTCATTGCTCGATCCGAACCACTGTCGGCTTATTCCCGTCGGTGATCCGAGGCGCGGGCACCGATACGTACTTAAAGCGGAATACCACACAATGTCTAAGTGGCTCGTGATTGGATCTGGCGGTTCGCAGCTTCTGCCTTTAGTCCATCGTAGGGTGAGATGAAGTATAGCAGGCACTCCGACCTGGGGGGTTCCGCCGCAACATTGCTTTGACGATCCTTGGCCAAGACCGTCTGCCTACGACCGTCTGGCTTGCTGAATGGAATATGCCCTTGCAGACCCTTCCTGTACGAACAGTTTGATCGCGGAACTAAATTTCCAAGGTCAATCTATTCCCCTTGTCATCTCGGTCTCTTTGGTTTCCGAGGCAGCGGTGACGACGCTGTCGTTGAAAAGGGACTCTCATTGATTCTTTCTCATTGTTTTGTGTGATATAGAACTCAAATAAACGCCGTAGTGATTACCTTCGCAACATGGTATGTACACTTTTTTATAAGTTTGCCATTTTTATTCTGACACGAAGCTAAGTCACTGTCGAGTTATAACAGTTTGTGGAAGCTACGCGATGACGGTCCAACATTTCTTTGCCGAGTGTTACGTCAGTATCAAGTTGCAATCGTAAAAGATCGGCCCCGAAGTGCTTACCAAAACGCGCTCTAACAGAGCGAATCCAGCACTTCGATCAAACACGCGCGTCTGCTTCGAGTGTGAACGGGTATTAGCGTGGCTCTTACTGACATTCGTATAGTTCAAACGTATATTTTTTAACGTCGCGTCGCTCCTGCATTTCGGAGGCCGCGAAAAACGCCGCGGTGGTTTGTTTCTTTCTATGTCGCTCTGCATGACGTCTGGCACGGG